CAATCGCAAGACTTCCTGAGGCTGAGGAGGTGGGGGTAAGTGGGGGGCGGGGGGCTCTAACTGAAGGAGACGAGGCAGGGGGTAGAGGTGGGGTGGGAAGGAGAGCTCCCCACTGTGGGTAATCAGCCAAGAGATCCATCCCATTTTCTGGGCCAAGTTTCACTTGCTAGCTCCTTTCCCCTTCTTGTTTACTTTTTCTCTTTGATGCTCTTTCATTTCTCTACTCAGTAAACCTTAGTGACCACGTCCTGTGGCCAGGGTTGGCCCAGGTGAGAAGAGACTCTGGGCGAAGGCCAAGATGCAGTTTCCTGCCACAGAGGTCGCATTCTAGTTGGAAATGGACAATTTCAAAACACAGTGAGCATTCATGCTGAGTAGGGGCAAGTAGGGGAGGGGTTTGGGAGCCTGGGGTGGGAGTGAGCAGACCAAGGGGGTGAGGGTAGAGGCCAGGGAGACCTCCTAGAGGAAGCAGAACTGGTGCTGGTTCCACTAGGGCTGCCAGGTAAAATACAGACGCTTGTATTTAATGCAATACTTGTGACGTACTTACATTAAAAAGATTATTTGTTGTTTACCGGAAATTCAAAATTAACTGAGTGTCCTGTATTTTTATTTGTTAAATCTGGTGACCCTAGTTCCTGATGAATATACAGGGATTAGCTGAGTAAATTGGGGGAATGGGGGGAAGGGCATCCCTGTAGAAGGAACAGCATGTGCAAAGACCTGGAGGCGAGGGATCCCGGGCTTCATTTAAGGAACTGAACGTTACCCAATGGCTGGGTATGGTGTGCTAAGTGCCAGGCTCACCGTGAAGTTCTAGGGTGCTGTTGCTGGCCAGACAGACAGACAGACAGACAGCCTCTGCTCTCAGGAAGCTCACAGGTCAGCTGAGGAGCAGTGAGGTGAGGAGCGAGAAGCAAGGGCACTGTGGAAGGTATAGCTGAGGACATCAGCCTGGCTGGGAGGTCAGGAAAGGCCTCTCTGAGTAGGTGACAATATGCTGAAGATGGGGAGCCAGGCAGGCCAAGAGCTTGGGGAAGAGTATTTTAGGCTAAGGAACAGCATAGCAGAGGCCCCAAGTGAAAAAAAAATTGCAGTGGGTCCCAGATACCATAATGTGGCCAGAGGGGCTGGGGCCCCAGAGAGAGAGGAGGCACAGAGGAGCAGGCTGGAGTAGGGGCCAGGGGCCAGATCACACCGGAGGGAATTTGGGCTGGATTCTGCATGCAATAGGAGCCTTGGAAGGAGTTTAAAGCAGACAGAGTGACACACTAGCTTTGTGTTCTTAAAGGTGACTCATGCTGGAGAGAGGAGGGCAGATGGGCATCGTGGGGGCAGAGAGAATGAGGGAGGCCAGGGAGGAGCTACTGCAGATGTCCTGGATGGACAAGTGGGTGGCTTGGCCCAGCGTGATGGTGGTGGAGATGGAGGGAGGAGGAGAGGGAAACCCAGGCTGCACTGAGGAGGAAGACTTGGCAGGGCTGGGGTATCTGGCACTAGGAAGTGAGGGGTGGGAGGAGCAGTCATGACTCAAAGCTTCTGGGCCGGACAGATGGGAGGATGGTGGCATCATTTGCTGAGCTGAGCTGGGAGCCTGGGAGGTTTGGGGGTGGTAGGCGAGAGGGCTCAGGCTTGCACATTTTGAAGGTGAGGAGGGTGGTGGTGGACCATTGGAAGATGGACTGTGGAGGAAGAAAAATTGTGGGGGGCTGGGCAGAGCTGTGGTCAAAGCTCTCTTCTCATACTTGGCCGTGTCACCTTGAGCACTGACTTCACCTCTCCTCGCCTGTTTTTTGCTCTGTACCCGGATGATGTGGGCAACCTGCACTCAGAGCTGTGGTGAGGGTGTGGTGGGCAACCTCCAAGATACAGTAACCCCATTGATTCTCACCTCCTGGTATTCACGGCCTTGTGTGGTGACCCCACACTGTAATAGGGCTGGTCTGTGAGACCACAAGACTCCAAGTATGTCCCTTTCAAGGCTGGGTTAGAAAAGACCTTGTGATTTCCTGTTTTCCGTTAAATCACTTGCTTTGGGGGATGCCAGCTGCCAGGTTGTCAGGAGAGGCTCATGTGGAGAGGAACTACTGCTCCTCCTGAAAACTCCAGGCGTGAGCTTAGATGCGAATCCTCCCGCCCCAGCCAAGCCTTCAGATGACTGCAGCCCCAGCTGACATCTAGGCTGCAGGGTCTGCTACCTACCTCATCTGCTTCCAAATTCTTGACTCCCAGAAACCATGAGGTAAGAAATGTTTGTTGTTTTATGTCCTTACATTTTGGGATAATTTATTATGTGGTGATAGAGAACTGGCCCAGAAGGTGAAAGCACTGAGCACAGTCCCTGGCACATGGTTGGGGCTGTAGAATATACATCTGTAGGTCTGGAGTCGAGAGAGAGGCCTGGGCTGGAGGTATGGGGTTGGGAACCTTTTGGCTTAGAGACAATAACAGAATCCATGGAAGTGTCTGAATCAGTCCACAGAGAGGAAGAGACAGAGAGGAGAGGATGGCCTTGACCGAGCCTGGACATGAGGGGTGGGTAATGGCAGAGGAGGAATGACTCTACGAGGCCGAGAGGAGGTGCTACAGAGGCAGGAGGAAGCGTAGGGCAGGGCTCGGAAGAGTCTGTCTCTCAGAGGTTGTGGACAACATATCACCCCGGGAGGCCTGAGAGGGGGAGATCTGAGGAGGTTCTTCCTGGTATCCCCATAAGAGCTGTTTAGGTAGAGAGGTGGGCCCGGAGGCCAGATTGAATGTTGTGGGTTGGGGTGTCAGCATAAATGCTTTCCACCCCTAAGCCCTAAACCAAGATGATTTGTAGAAGAAATCTATAGGCAATCCAAATTACAGGAAACTCCAGTCTTACAGAAGCTGCTTTAGTGAAAAAATAATGCATCATCAAAGTAAGTTTATTCTAGTCCTAACTGGTTTGGCTCAGTGGATAGAGCGTCAGCCTGTGGACTGAAGGGTCCCGGGTTCAATTCCAGTCAAGGGCATGTACCTTGGTTGCGGGCACATCCCCATTGGGGGGTGTGCAGGAGGCAGCTGATCAATGTTTCTCTCTCATTGATGTTTCTAACTCTGTATCCCTCTCCCTTCTTTGTAAAAAAATCAATAAAATGTATTTTTTAAAAAAGTAAGTTTATTCTAGGAATGCATGGATAGTTTACTGTAATAAAATCCATGATTGTAATACGTTACATTAGAGTGAAAAATCCCACATTTGATACATTTCAATGCCCATTCATAACACAGCAGAATACTGTGTTATCTTTTATTACACCAATAAAAGATATCTATAAAAAACCTACAACAAACATCATATTCAATGGTGACATGTTAGAAAAGTCTAGAACAAGACAGAAATGTCCACCACCATTACTGCAAGTCAACACTGTGCTAGAGATTTTAGTCAGTGAGTAAAACAAGGAAACGGAAATCAAATAGAAGATACTACACTGTCATTACTTGAAGACTCTTTGTTTACTTACATAGAATATTCAAGACAGCCTATAAACTTAGAACTAAAAGAGTTCAAGTTAGCAAAATATAAGGTTATTAATTAAAAGTCAACCACATTTCAATAACCATCAATCAATACACTATAAAACACAAACTTGAAAATATAATTTATAATAGCAATAAAAACTTTAAGAGGTACGTAAGAATAGTTTTGTGAAAACCACTGACAAAGTTTATTCCTCTCTGTTTTTAGTTGGGGAAATGGAAGCTCTGAGGGGGGAAATGACTCTTCGAAGGACACCCCTGATAAGCCAGGGCAGGTCTGGATTTTTCAGTGGCACCAAATCCTAGAGATCTGAGTGCTGAATAATTTTGGTATTGTCTTTCTTTTGTTAAAAAACAAAACAAAACAAAACCAAAACTCTGATTAAAATATATTTTTCTGATTGTAAATTCAATATTGATTCTAGCCAGAACTGGTTTGGCTCAGTGGATAGAGCGTCGGCCTGCGGACTCAAGGGTCTCAGGTTTGGTTCCGGTCAGGGGCATGTACCTTGGTTGTGGGCACATCCCCAGTGGGGGGCGTGCAGGAGGCGGCTGATCGATGTTTCTCTCTCATCGATGTTTCTAACTCTCTATCCCTCTCCCTTCCTCTCTGTAGAAAATCAATAAAACATATTTTTAAAAAAATATTGATTCTAAAAAATATAGGAAATTTGGAAGAACATTCAGTAATGTCACTAACATTCCCAAGCTACTACCTAGAGAGCTATGATCAATGATTTTCTACATTTCCTTCAAAATATTTGTCTATATTTATGTTTCTAAAAGTAAAATTAGGATTATATCATGCATGTCATTATATTATGTTTCTCACACATGTTCCTGTAAAATCACCTAGTCTTTTTGAATTTGATCATATAGCACCCAGTGATGCTGATGAAGCATATGTCATTTATTTAACCTATCAATTTAAGTTTTCAGAGAAAAACCAAGTATCAGATCTGAGTGTGATAATCACTGGATAAAAGTTAAACCTCAGAGCCAGCTCACGCACATGCAGACTGCAACAGGCGAGTTTCTAAGGCCGCGGTTATCCTGGTGGAGAAGAAATGGCAAAATCAACGTCCCCCCAGGAAGAGGACAGAGATCTGGTCTGCAGGAGCGAATGGGATTTCGCAGGAGCCTATTCTTGGAGACAAATTAGGTCTGAGACTTTTACCTAATTCCCCACCCTCTGCAGTCTTGGCTTCCTTCCTGGTGAAAAGAGGACAATATGGTGCTCAGACTCTAGTAAGACCGGCTCCTTTAGGCCTCAGAGCCTCTGCACCGGTCCTTCCTTTCTGCCGGTCAGCTCTGCCCTTAGTCTTCCTATCTGGCCGCCCAGGCTGTCCCTTCAGACCTGGCCGCCCTTCCCTGCCCTGCCCCCCAGGCCTGACAGGTGACCTTATTAGAGTCGCCTGCCCCACGGAGGGCAAGGCCAGCAGGTCCTCTGCCACAAGCAGAGTGTCCAGGTCTTTCTCGGCCATTGCATCTGAAGCAGAGTCCTCCCTTTATTCTCCATCTAATTATTTTTATCATGTGCCTCCCAACACATCATAACTTGTCAGGATTTTGTCTGCCGGCTGTTTCTTGGGTCTCGTCTGTTTTCTTCTCTACTTAGGACCTCCTCCATCTTGCTGGCCGCTGTACCCCGTATGCCCGGCATATGGCCCGGACTCCATGCATGTTCGTGGGAAGACAACGGAGCAGCAGTGGGGAACCTAGGTCCGAGGGCGCACGCGGTGAAGGTTGCGGGAGGGCTGGGCTGATCCAAATTGCAGGCGGAGGCAGGACGTCG